ATGCACTCTTATAGCTTTATTTTACAAATGCATTACATGATCTCATCTAGTTCTACATCATTATGTAGTGTTTATCGAGAATGTTCCAACCAAAACAAAGTACATTCTTGACTGATGAAGAAGTGGCAGTGGGCACATATATCTTTTTCAAAAAAGATGATGGGTAATAAAATATTTACTCTTTTTAATATTTTTCTTTTATATTTTTCCATCACATAACAAAATATATTGTAATATTGATGTGTCCCTGCTTTCAGCTTAGAGACTTTGGTCAGAACTCATATGGATATTTGCGACGGAAGTAGGAATTTACTTCTACAGCTAATTCCTGGCAGAATGATCGACCAAGATGTAAGTCTCTAACCCTTTTTGACCCATCAAGATTCTGTATGAAAAAATATGCTATTTTTCATTATAGTTAATGTATATTTTCCAAAACAATATCTCAAACACGTTAAATATGCTAAATTTGGTTTATATATCACGATCTCAACAATAATATTTCCTTCTGTAATGGTTACGTTCGTCACTACAGGTTATTAACTTATGTGTGTGTATGCTCACCATGAATGAAAGGTCTAATTCTAAGCACAAAGGGCATTGGTTTTTGCCCACTACATTTTCGGTAAGCTAAGGATATTAGTACAACTTACGAATGTCTATTTTTAACACCTAATTAGCAGTTATGAATGTATTCATTTTTTCATTTTTACAGCAATCAATTATGTCTTGGAATGCTCCTAGGGAAAAAATTATTTCACAGTACAAAGATAGATTCATGGGCAAGGTTGATATGCTGCGCAAGGTACACATGTTTATATATAAAAATCTTCCACTTTCTTGAATTTCACTATGAAAAGGAAATCACATATTTTTTAGAAGTTATTAACTTAATTTACCGTAGGTATTTGTTCCGATCAATGATGGAAACTTTCACTGGTTTCTACTTGCTATTGACTTTGAGAAGCAACAGTTGGTATATCTTGATTCGTGTCCTGATCCGTCACGAATGTCACTAAGAAGTAGCAGCATCAAAACAGTGGTATAATAAATATCAAAGTGCTTCGTATTTTTAAGTATGCACTATAATGCTTAAATGTTATTTAATGATTTATTTTTCAGGCATTATTTATAGAATACCTACTGCAAGATTGTTCATTCTACGAGTTTAAGCAAACAAGGAAACACATTGTTTCACAATTCACTCATGTCACCCCAAGTGGATTAAACCGTCAACAGCCTGGATCGTGAGTTTTATTATACTTAAAAATTATTAATACACATCTCAATGCTACTCTAATTTTTGTACATTATAACAGGAATGACTGTGGCGTGTGGGTTTACGAGTGGATGGCATCAATGGGTAGTGGTGAATACAAGATTGAGGTACCTCAATTACATTGACATATTTTAATCTAGAAAGCGAAAACATATAGAGATTAATTATGTGATGATATTTTTTTTAATTTACAGGTCGATGATGGTACAAGGCTTAAGATGGCATTAGACATGGTCTTGGATAAATTCAACATTTTGCATGAAGCGGTGTTGAAGAGATCTCTCGATCATATGTTTGATTTTACTATTGATGAAACCAATAGAGAGACAAATTAGACTAATTAGAGTTACTTTTCATAGTTATTTTGAATTTAGTTAGTTACAATTTCTTGATTACTCTATGGATATTTTAGACCTAATTACTTACAATTTCAGTTTTTTCCAATTTCATTTTCAATTTCGTGTTGTTTTGAATAAATTCTCTATTATTCGATTAATCTATTGTTACTTATCAATTTTTTCGTATTGTGTATATGCTATGCATTAACGTGTTTCTCATGACATTAAAAAGTTATTTAATACTCATGTTATTGTTCCTACACCTATTATCCAAGACCTTACCCAATATCAGGTTTTAGAGGAGGGAGAAATAGAGGAATTGGAACTGAGAAGGCCAACAGACCATACCATTCTGATATGGAATATAATGAACACCGACAAGAGTAGATTACTTTTCAATGTCATTTAGGTATTACTTTTCAAAATTATTGAAGACATATCTAGTAAGACTCATAGACGAAGCTATGCCAAGTATCTTGCTTGACTAGTAAGACTCATAGACTCAAAATTGTCCCAGCATGCTACACTTAAAAAAATGTCAGTTAATCTGAACTGCATTAAGTCTTTACAAAGTTATAAAACTGGTACAGAAAGTTAAAAGTGAAGTTATATACATATGTCACATTAGATCTTTTTCTTCTAAACATAGACTGGAGAGAGTTAGGCATGGGCTAAATATAAAACATCATAAATTGATAATAGGAAAACGTAGAAGAAGAAAGAATTAGAAGAACAAGGGGAAAAAAACTGACTAGCTGAGGCTCTAGGTTAGCAAAACGATGTTAAATGCATCCTTGAGTCAAAATCAAATAAAGTGCCATTTTTATCTTCATAATCAGATCAGGCTCCATCATATAATTAAGTGTTTCATAATGAAAATGGAACTTACCTCAATCGAACAAAACAAATAAATATCCTCCACCCCCAGAAAGTCCCTTTCCAACACCTCTGGGAATCTATTACCCCCAACCCGGCCTACAAACAACCCTGCAGCTTTACCGCACGGTCTGCCCTCTCCTACACCCAACCACACAAACGTGCATAATCAGGAAAATAGAAGTAGACTTTAATCATGCACACCTCAACTGTCTCAATGGTTATATTTATAGAATAACAGGTAATCTTAACATAACTGTCAGCAAAGGCACGAGAGTGGTTGGATTTGTCAACGTACTGCAAATCTGCCTTCTCCAGTTTCCCATCCACCAAAAATAATCCACCTTAGCTTCAGTAATAGAGAAACGTAGATGGTCTCATGGGTGTAATCCTGTCAGAGAAGACAATAAAATTGAAAATTGTGAAAGTCTGAAAAATAAGTCAAGAAAAAGCTTTAAAACGGAGAAAATAATGTAGAGGCTCCCTTCGACCACATCATGATAGGTATATTTCAATTCCATCTCAGTCTAGTATAGAGGAAAACATTGAAACAAACTACACAATACCGAAGGACAAACACATCCCTATCAGATTATACTGTCCATTTATGAATGATTTCTTAAAAGCTATTGTTTACTTTGTCCTATGCCACTATCTAATGCTCTTAAGAAGCAAACTTCATATTAAGAGAAAAGAGCAAAAAGTACTTGCAGCATATGCCTAAAAGTTACATAGAACACCCTCCGTCGCCACTTTGTCTTCACTTTTCCTATTTGGGTCATCCCTAACTAACCCTCCTTTTCCCTCTTAAGTAAAAAAGTGTGTAAGCTATTTTCTTTCATTTGCGTCTACGTGAATATCAACCAAACAATTTTCATTTCCACACACTTCATTTTAAGTCAAACCCAGAACATTAAATGGGAAAGGAGGGAGTAATAGTGACAGATAACCTGAAGAAGAAAATATTAGTATGCTAAATCACAACATAATAATCAATTTAACCTTCTCGATGAATTCTCCATTCAGGCAACCAAATTTAACATGAGGATCATCATATCAAAAATCACCTGAAATAGAAACAAAAAGATAAAACTAGAGCCTACCCTTCTTCTACAGAATCAGTACCAAATTTGGAATTTAAAAATAGAATGATAATAGCACCGTGTTGTTCAGTTGGAACTTTTCCATTATTATCAGTATCGCCGACATACTGGCTATAGTTCTTGTCTTCCCTAACCAATGCAAGTGGTGTATTCCCAGTTTGGTAGTGTGCTTGCCTATAGATGAGAAGCAATCAATAAACACAAAGGCAGAAATTTTCAAAAAGGCACACAGTTCAATAGTATTCATGGTAAACTGTAAATCCTTAAAAAATGGAGACATTATCATAAATGTATTAACTCATAAAAACTCGCTTATTAATGAACACCAACCCATCCTTAACATAGGGTACTGGACCTGTATAAGCAGAACAGAGTCCTTCCTGGACACAGTCGTAGACTGGAATACTAGTGAACAAGTTTAGTGTAAGTTTAGTGCAAGTTGAGGGAGCATCGCATGCCCCTGACTGAGCGAGTTTAGTGTTCAACCATTAGAATTTGAACTCTGCAGTGCACTCATATAATGAGAACCCATCCCAACCCACCATGTCAATCACATAATACGTTTGATCTAAATATCATGCCACAGAACAACATGAGCACATTAGAGAAGCTAAAATAGGCACAACTAGCTATTAGAGAAGCTGGAATAGGCACAACTTGCCATTAGAGAAGCTGGAATATGCACAACTAGCCATTAGAGAAGCTGGAATATCACCATAGCATGAAGCTTTAAAATTTGATGAGGTTTGACTGTTACCTCATGAAATACACAATCAAGAATACGATAAGACTGAACAGGTTTACTATTGGCCTTGCACCACTTGGTAAAGAAAAAGGAAACATATGCAAGAGAGTGCCATTACGTAGCCTACATTTTCATTTCATGAAACCAGGCCGATTAACTTTAAATTGGGATCAATCGTTGAAGGATTCTAAACGGTATAATTTAAAGATTCATACCTAGATACCATTTCGTAATTTTTTAACAATCAATTTCAACCAGATTTAACCAGAAGAGCCTAAATAGACGAAATCGATGGACTGTCATAATCATATTCGAACTCGGTTACCTCCACTGACAGAAGACCATTCCTCATAGCGACATCAAGCCTGAGATCACTCATCAATTCATAGATTCACAGGGCATGTTGGCTTGATTTAGAATCTTTGGAAGCCTTGCATAAAGCAAGGATCTTGGATCTTCTCTGTCGGCAAGATGACCGAACGTGAACCCTAACGAATCCTGCATCTTCTCTGTCGGCAAGATGACCGGTAGCATGAATCCATTCCGAAAGCTAGACCAATTGACAGGGTAGATGGGAAGACGCTGGAGAAGTCTAACGGACGGTTAGCGTTAAATCATTTGAAATCAATTATTAAATATCTCAGGAGCCTACGAGCAAATTAGGAGAAATAATAAATAGCTATACTAACGTATATTGCGTGTAAATGTATTACATATGCCAGCAAATTAGTGGTCCAACTGGACGTGGTACGGTACCTAGAAGTTTTTGGAAGGCACGGTAGTTGTGGCCTAAATTTTATCTCCAGAGGAGTCATCTTTCATCAATTCTCTATGCAAAGCAATATCAATTTTCATATAAGAGCATCTTCAATCGGACGGTGTTGACATTAAAAAAAACATGCTACGTAATCCTTATGTAACATCACTGCATAATTATCATTTCCAACGCACCATGTTTATTCTCCTGTAATGCTGATATGTACAAATTTAATTTCGACAGTGTTTACGTCCCTGTCTCCAAGTAACAGCGCCCTTCACAGGCTGACTCAGCAAACGTGGAGTAGAAATGCAGCCAATTTTGTGGATAAATTTCAGGAATTTCTCCCGCGATAAATTTCCGCCAAAACATTCATTCACCGCGCATACCTTTCCCCCTATGGAGCAAAATTTCCCAGTCCCATATGGAGTAAAGCTTCTGCAGAGACCTCCTCGCCTCGCCCCTCTCGCCGGAGTAAAGCTTTTGCAAGAGACCTCCTCGCCGTCCCCCTCTGAAGTAAAGCTTCCGCAGAGACAAAGGTAGTGGATTTCTGTTCTTCAAATGATTTAATTTCTGGTTAGGTATTAAGGGGTAAAAAATATTAAGCCATTATTGACTGGTGATCTCGATATGCCTACCCTGCAATAGAAAAGCAAAATCGTAGAAACTTCATGGCAAGTAGGTGATGTCTCGTGAACTTTTGTTTGGACTCACGACTCGCTGGATGCAATCCAATTAATTTGATAAGAATTTCCTACTTCTAGTTTTATATATCTACTTTTCATTCATTCTCTTTTCAACATCCAGTTACAAAATTCTTTCTTGCACTGGTCTTCTTTTTTTTATATAGATTTTCTTCACACCATCTTAATTTGTACTCTCCAAGATTAGATGAATCCTCTTTCATTAATAGCAATCCATATATATGGCCTTGTAGGATTAGATTATTATAAGTGTAGTTTATCTTCTATGGTCCTAAAATTGTTTATGTTGATCAGTATTTGCTTGTGTTTATAGTTTATACAATTGTGATGGCGGGCTGGGAGTATTTTGATGCACATGCAGTAGCTTTTTGGTTTCCAGGTGTGTTTTGATTAAACACTCCGTATGAGTTATTTAATTTTAAAGTAATACGAGTTACACGTGGGTAGCGTTCTATCCGTGATTGACATGAACCATTGCACATGATTATGGTATTTTAATTGTCCACCTACGTGACTCAACAAGACGTGGATGACTATTCCACTTATTAATCGTCATGTGTCCAAATTTTTAGGATGTTAACGATGTACCATTAATGATGCTCTAAGTAGTACACAATATATATACATACTCACGCCACCTATGACAAAAGTGTTAGATTATTGGACTTATATTGCATGTAATATTCACAATATATTATTTATCAGGTTTAATTGTATGTTATATGCTATCTTATATTTAGGCCCAAAAATTAGTGGTCCTATGGATATTAATTTAAGTGGGCTAATAAGTTATCTAATAAGGTATAGGGCCCAAATGTGTAGAGACCCATGGGCTTGACCTAATCAATGATGGGCTGATTAGGGTTAAGCACTCTCTATAAATAAGGGGTTATGGTCCCTAGTTGTACACGCCATTCTGTCTTTCTGCATCCCATCGCTAGAGAGGTAATCACGAGGGTGTGTATCAACTAGAAGACACAAACCCTAGCCTCCGTCTCCCGGATCTCTAAAGGCCATCTCCCATGGAGTCAGGTACGCTTCCGCTCAGTTAATTCTCCAGATAATTTCAATATGAAGATTAAAGTATTCATGGATTTATTCCAACAATTGGTATCAGAGCCTCCTTCATATTGAATTATTTAGAGTATTCATACTTTTGTTTCAATCTTAAACGATTGAATTTCGGATATATTTTATGTCATAATGTGATCTGCCGATTATTGGAGTCAGGGTATTGCGTTTTTTTATACAGTTCGTTCCTAACGTATTCATATGTTAAATCGGCACACAATGACTAAATTGAAATTCGAGGTTTCGATGATTCTCTCAATCGTAACTCGTATGGATTTAAAAAAAAAAAAAAAAAATATGAAATCGGCAGATAACAAACAGAAGTTTTTTGACATATTCTGTATGTTATTCTGACATATTATATGCCGATTAGTTGAATTGGTATGCTGTTTTAATTTTCTGTTAGACATGTTTCTTCAATATTGCGATTGAATCTATTAGCTTCTTGAATGGAGTCAGTGCACTACTGATTGTTGTCTAGTTACGGAGTTTAATTACGGAGTAGAATTGTGGTTTTTGGTAATCCTAAAGTGGAACTGTGTTGTGACTTACGGAATTTAATTTTTGAGTATTTTATTTCATGGTGACTCTCGGGAATTGATGATCCGGTGGACTTATACATCTCCTAGCAATTATGGTTTTGATCATTGCCAGATTCTTATTTTGGAATACGTCACAATTAAATTCATATTTGTTTTTGGATTTACTGGTTTAGAAATAAATGGAAGATCCAATAATAAATAGTGGATATTATCTATCACTTTTATTTTGATTTGTTTCAATTTTTCAGTGAATAATTTTGGAATTTTATGGCTTTGGTAATTAAATACATATATGTGATTACGGGGAATGTCAGTTCTATTAAAATTGTATATTTGGAAATAAATTACTTTTGATGGTGATCATGATTTACAGTTTGAAAATGTGTTATGTGTTATGGATGTATAAACCCTATTTTGTGATCACATAAAGATTGGGTATGGGTTTTACAAATTATCGTTATACATAATACATTTGCATGTGATTCAGAAAAATTTGCCCAAATTTTATTTTTCAGATTTTCGATTTAATATTAGCATGTCTAATATTTGGGTTGATTAATTGACGCAACATGCTGCCAAAGTAGCCTCTCTTGTTGAAATTAATTAACTCATATATTAAGATGATTGTGTACTTTCTTATTTCATGCGGATAGTAATCGGCCCAAAGGAAGGTTATTATTTGGCCGAAATTTAAGTACATTTGTGATAATAAAAATTTGTGATGATTATGAAGTTTTTTCGTGTGAATATTAAGTCGGTCCAAAGAAAGGCTTAATATTTGACAAGATTTTATTATCAAAATTTTATTATCACACCAAGAGTACCACTTGCAAGTCTAATTTATGTCCAAAGACAAGATTAGATGTTGCGCTAGGTATCTTGTGATGGGGATTGCTAATATTTAAATTTAAAATTAATTATAAAATTAATTTCAATTCCTAGAGCATATCATTTATATTATTTTTTGTTCTCTTTCAGTCAACAATTCTGCTGCTACAATATCTGCTAATATTAATAGCATCCCAGTGCTTAACGGCACGAATTTTAAGGAATGGAAAGAGAATGTTATGATCGTTCTCGGTTGCATGGATCTAGACCTTGCACTTCGGACTGAGAAACCCGCCGCTCTTAAGGACACATCTACCCTTGATGAAAAGAGGGAGATGGAGAGGTGGGAACGCTCAAACCGCATGAGTCTAATGATCATGAAACGTGCAATTCCAGAATCATTCAGGGGCACAATGTCTGATGAGGCCGATGCCAAATCATTCCTTGCCGAACTTGAAAAGCGTTTTGCTAAAAACGAAAAGGCGGAAACTAGTACTCTTTTGAGCACTCTTGTTTCCATGAAGTATAAAGGCAAAAGGAACATAAGGGAGTACATTTTGGAAATGTCTCATATTGCTTCGAAACTAAGTGCACTAAAGCTTATTTTACCTGAGGAATTGCTTGTGTATTTAGTTTTGATCTCTCTTCCTTCTCAATTTAATCAATTTAAAGTCAGTTACAACTGCATTAAGGAGAAATGGTCTCTCAATGAGCTCATTTCTCATTGTGTTCAAGAGGAAGAGAGAATAAAGCAAGATAAGACAGAAAGTGCTCATTTGGCATCTACCTCTAAGGGCAGCAATAAAAGAAAAATTAAGGAAGCTGCAAATTCGGGGCCTCCCAGGAAGCATCACAAGGAAACTAAGGAAGAAACTAAGGAATCTGGATGCTTCTTTTGCAAAGGGACTAATCACAAGAAAAAGAACTGCACTAAGTACCATGCTTGGCGTGCGAAAAAGGGTATGTCTCTTGCTCTTGTTTGTTCTGAGGTTAATTTAATTTCGGTACCAAAAGACACTTGGTGGGTAGATTCTGGTGCTACTACTCACATAAGTGTATCTATGCAGGGTTGCCTGAGCTGCCGAAAACCAATTGATGGTGAAAGATACATCTATGTCGGTGATGGCAAGCGGGTTGAAGTTGAGGCTATCGGTGTTTTTAGATTATTATTAAAGACTGGTTTTTATTTGGATTTGAAAGAGACATTTGTTGTGCCGTCATTTAGGCGGAATTTAATTTCTATTTCTGCATTGGACAAATTTGGTTATTCTTGTTCATTTGGAAATAGCCAGTTCAGTCTATTTCAAGATTCAAAACTTATTGGCACTGGTCTTTTATCAGTTTATGATAATCTATATTCACTTGATATAAATACCTCATATAATGAAACCTTGCATGTAAGTACTCGTGGTACTAAAAGAAAATTAACCAATGAGAATTCATTTTCACTTTGGCACAAGCGTCTAGGACATATTTCTAAAGAAAGAATTCAGAGACTTGTGTCAGATGGAATTCTTGATTCTCTTGACTCCTCAAATTCTGATATTTGTGTTGAGTGCGTTAAGGGAAAACAAACGAACAAACGGAGGTTAGGTGCCGAGAGAGCTTCAGATCTATTAGAATTGATATATACGGACATTTGTGGACCATTCCCTACACCATGTAGAAATGGCCAAACATATTTTATCACATTCATAGATGATTACTCTCGTTATGGTTACCTTTATCTCATTCATGAAAAGTCCCAATCAATAGACGTGTTCAAATCTTATAAGGCCGAAGTTGAAAATCAATTAGGCAAAAGAATAAAAACCGTTAGATCTGACCGTGGTGGTGAATACTATGGTAGATATGATGGTTCCGGTGAACAACGTCCAGGGCCATTTGCTAAATACCTAGAGGAGTGTGGAATTGTTCCTCAGTACACCATGCCAGGAACTCCTAGCATGAATGGTGTTGCTGAGAGACGAAACCGTACATTGAAGGACATGGTTAGGAGTATGATTTGTCATACTACTTTACCCGATTCACTCTGGGGAGAGGCACTGAAAACTGCAGCTTACATACTTAACAGAGTTCCCACTAAAGCTACAACTAAAACCCCTTATGAAATTTGGACTGGAAAGAAACCCAGTATAAATCATTTCCATGTTTGGGGTTGTCCAGCTGAGGCAAGGCCTTATAGGCCAAATGAAAAGAAACTGGACTCAAGAACAGTTAGTAGCTATTTTGTAGGATACTCTGAGAGGTCAAGGGGGTATAAATTTTATGATCCCACTACCAGGACTATTTTTGAGACGGGTAATGCCCGGTTCTTTGAGGATATTGAGTTTGGGGGGTGGGGAGATAAGGTTAGAGATTTTGTCTTTGAGGAAGAACATGTTACTCTTCCTTCGGTTGTCATTGAACATGATCAAGATATGTTTATTCCTAATGATGTTCAAGAAACAACTCCAGTTCATGACAATCTCGAAAACATCCCCAATCAAGTACCTGAATTTGTTAATGAGGATCAAACTCAACAACCTCAAGAACCTGAGATGCCATTAAGGAGATCCACTCGAGAGAGGAGAAGCGCAATTCCGGATGATTATATTGTATTTCTCCTAGAACATGAGGAAAATTGGGAATTGGTGGAAGAAATAATTGTCTTCCTCCAAGAACAAGAATCAAATGTTGGTTTTGCGGAAGATGATCCAATCAACTTCCGTCAAGCCATGGAAAGTTCTAACTCTCAAGAATGGATTAATGCCATGAAAGATGAGATGAAGTCTATGAGTGACAATGACGTTTGGGAGATAGTCTCATTGCCTGAAGGTATTAAACCCATTGGTTGTAAATGGATATTTAAAATCAAGAGGGATTCGAAGGGCAATGTTACAAGGTTTAAAGCTCGTCTTGTTGCTAAAGGCTACACTCAAAAGAAAGGAATTGACTATAAAGAGACTTTCTCTCCGGTATCCTCGAAAGACTCTTTTAGAACAATAATGGCATTAGTGGCACATTTTGATCTTGAGCTTCATCAGATGGATGTAAAAACTGCGTTTCTCAATGGTGACATTGAGGAATCAATCTATATGGAGCAACCAGAAAACTTTGTTTCGGGGGATTCAAAGAAAATGGTTTGCAAATTAAAGAAATCCATCTATGGGCTCAAACAGGCTTCTCGTCAGTGGTATCACAAGTTTCATAAAATCATTATATCTTTTGGTTTTCAACCAAATGTCAGTGATGATTGTATATACCACAAGTTCAGTGGGAGTAAGCATATTTTCCTGGTCTTGTATGTTGATGACATACTGCTTGCTACTAACGATATAGGCTTATTACACGAAACTAAGAGATTTCTTTCAAAGAATTTTGAAATGAAAGATCTTGGTGAGGCTTCTTTTGTATTAGGAATTCAAATTCACCGAGATCGCTCCAAAGGCGTTCTTGGACTCTCACAAAAGAGCTATATCGATAAGGTTCTCAAAAGGTTTGGTATGCAAGACTGCAAACCAGGAGATACCCCAGTTTCTAAGGGAGACAAGTTTAGTCTCATGCAGTGCCCTAAGAATGGTTTTGAATCTAAAGAAATGAGGAACATTCCTTATGCTTCGGCTGTAGGAAGTTTGATGTATGCCCAGGTTTGTACAAGGCCTGATTTGGCATACATTGTTGGGATGTTAGGCAGATATTTGAGCAATCCGGGAATGGACCATTGGAAAGCAGCCAAAAGGGTCATGCGGTATTTACAGAGAACAAAGGAATATATGCTCACATATCGGAGATCGGATCAGCTTGAGATCATTGGGTATACCGACTCTGATTTTGCTGGATGTCAAGATAGCTTGAGATCCACTTCAGGCTACATCTATATTCTAGCTGGAGGAGCTATCTCCTGGAGAAGTATCAAGCAGACTCTTACAGCTACTTCCACCATGGAAGCAGAGTTTATAGCATGTTATGAGGCATCCAATCAGGCACTATGGCTGCGAGATTTTGTTAGTGGACTACGCATAGTGGACAGCATTGAAAGACCACTTAAGCTATTGTGTGACAATAGATCAGCAGTCCTCTATGCTAAGAACAACAGTAGTTTGACCAAGGCAAAACACATTGGGGTCAAATTTAAGGTTGTTAAGGAACGAGTACAAGAAGGAAAGTTATCTATAGAGCACATTAGCACAAACTCCATGATTGCGGATCCGCTCACTAAAGGATTACCACCCAAAGTGTTTCATGAGCATGTTGCACAAATGGGTGTCAAATCAGTTGAGGATTATGAGTTTTAGTGGGAGTTTGTAATGTTTCTATATTTGGTTAATTGACTTGATTCAAGTTTTTAAGGTTATTTTCTGCAGAAATTAAGTTTAAAGTTTTATGTACTCTTACAGTTATATTATTGATCTCAAGGTGGACCAGTTGGAAATAGACATTCTATTCCAGACCACACTTTATGTTATTTCCACGCTACACACCTATACTTGATCCATGTCGTTTATTATATTAATATATGTGATCATTGATGGGTCTAGTTATTCAAATATAGCAAAGACTTCTTTGATCCTATGTTGATATAACTAATGGACCGGATTGATTAAAGATGACTACAGTTTGATAGCAAAAATTTGGAGCTCCTAAAGTAAACATACAATTCTGAGGATTGTGTATACATGTGTATGTCGTCCAAGTGGGAGATTGTTAGATTATTGGATTTATATTGCATGTAATATTCACAATATATTATTTATCAGGTTTAATTGTATGTTATATGCTATCTTATATTTAGGCCCAAAAATTAGTGGTCCTATGGATATTAATTTAAGTGGGCTAATAAGTTATCTAATAAGGTATAGGGCCCAAATGTGTAGAGACCCATGGGCTTGACCTAATCAATGATGGGCTGATTAGGGTTAAGCACTCTCTATAAATAAGGGGTTATGGTCCCTAGTTGTACACGCCATTCTGTCTTTCTGCATCCCATCGCTAGAGAGATAATCACGAGGGTGTGTATCAACTAGAAGACACAAACCCTAGCCTCCGTCTCCCGGATCTCTAAAGGCCATCTCCCATGGAGTCAGGTACGCTTCCGCTCAGTTAATTCTCCAGATAATTTCAATATGAAGATTAAAGTATTCATGGATTTATTCCAACAAAAAGCAGTACTAAACGTTCAACAAAACTGCTCGATCAACTCACATAAATATATATGGACGATTGGCAAAGAACTGGCCGACATGATAGGGGCGCAGGGTTACTCCGACAGTCCGGCCTGCTGCAAAAAAAAGATCTCTTGGACGATTTTTGCAAGACCAACGCCATGGATGTGATCTTCAGCACACCTATGTTTTCTTCATAAATCAGAGCGCCTTTTTCTCGTTGCCGGTAAAAAAACGAGCCGGAGAAAAACATCGGCGGAGAAGAAGATCGCCGGAGAGAAAATGGGGGCTGCAGGAGCTGCTCACTACACCTCCTAGATGAGGAGCGCCGCCGTATCATAAGAAGCTTTCAAAGGGCGAGATGATTGTCCCATTTACTACGGCAGCCAAGTGCTGCGTGACTCGGTGACTGTGTTGTCGGAAGAAAAGTGTTGCATTTTTGTTGGTCAAATGAAGCACTTGGGGTTGATACACTCCCTATTTCTTAAATGTTTTCGGTAAAATTATTTTAGAAAAAATGTTTTGCTGAGTTGGCTGTGAGACACCCCTGCTGAAACTAGAAGGTCGGATAGATAGTGTCCCCTATTTTCCAATCCAGCTCAGCACGATAGCCAGAATACATTTTCCCATTGCGGAAGACAATTTGAGCCCAACGTGATGTGGCAATTCATTTTTTAGCAATTGATGTAGTCTTGCAGATACTCTACGCCTCTGCCTTCTAGGTTTTTACTATTTAAAAAGTCTCTAAAAGTTTCTAGTTATATGTTTAGTCTTAACAAATCAAACAGCTTCTATACCAAGCACAACTAAATCAAACAGTTAGCTTTTTACCAAACAACTACCACCTTTTTCTTTTAAGATCTTTTCAGTTACTAACAGCTAACAATTACTAAAAAGCTTACAAAAATATCTTTTCAGCTAGTTGTGCCAAACATACCCTACACAATAAATTAATTTTCGACTTGTTTAACTAATTTTTCTAACTTCTAAGTCACCTCTTTCAAAAATGAGAAACATATTGGACCAAAAAAATATGAGCAAAATAAGTTTCAAATTATGAAATAGCAATACAATTGTTCACAACAATTTGGAAAAATTGCACTAAACTAGTTTGGGGTGACGGGGACTCTCCTCCTACTACTGAGAGTATAATTTTTCAAATTAAGCTCTATACCCAAAATTGGTCCTTAAGCTTTCCCCCTATGAAGAATCAAACCGATTTCAAGATTTTGAGAGATGAGCTCTTAATACAACCTAACTTTCATCTGAGGAGTAACTCGATTCAAATTGTTAAATGGCGAAAGCATAGGAGCAAAAACAAATTGAACACAGATGCAAGTTACTTAGCTCATGGGGCGAGAGGAGGTGCGATTATCAGGAACTGTAAAGGTGAGATGATCTGTGCGATGAGCTTCCCGATCTCGACGTCTTCCCTGGTTGAGGCAGAACTAAAAGCGATGATGTATGCTCCAAAATGGGCGGATGATGAATGGTTTGTTTATCTTCAGGTGGAATCCGATTCGTTTGAGGCTTTGGAGATGATACGGAATAAGGAAGTAAGAAGATGGCCAGATCTCCTTCAGGAAAGTAGGCTGATTGCGGATAGGAAACGTATGGTATTCGAACATTGTCTGAGAAAGCAACTGGATAGCCCACTACCTGGCGGAATCGCATTCGGACTGCCTTCCAAAAATCTTTAACGGGCTGAGTCCGTTGCCTATTAAAGCCAAACGGGTTTACTTTATGGTTTTGTTTGGAATTCCTTCGATTAGATTTTAATTTACTCTGTTTTTTATCTTTGATTGAGAGGTTTTGGCCTAGTCTCCCTCTCTTTGTACCTCTCTTATATTAATAAATTCTGGCAAATGACTCTTGATGGAGTATATGGCCCGGGAATCCCCGGCCCACAGACTCCTACTACACCAATAAAGGCCCAACCGGCCCAGGGAGCACAGCAGGCCCAAATTACGGCGCCCCAAGCACTTAGCAGCCCACAACGCACACTGGGGAGCCTTCGGCCCCCTAGCCGAAGGCTCAAATCCCTCACAGAACGGGTTTTTTAAGCAAACTAAGAAACTGGGAGGAAACGGCAAAAAAAACAGCAGCCCTCGGCATTAGCGGGCCCTCGGCAACATAGAGTCTTCGGCAACTACTATGCGGCCGAAGGCAGCTCACACGACAGGATCCTCCCTCCACGCGCATCTGGGTCACCGTACCACGTACGACGTCCCATCCAACAGCCGCATTAAATGCGGCCACATGCGGTTGCCAAGCGCCAACCAGTTGAGGTGACCCCTCGGCCAATGAGCGCTTGACACGTGTCCCTGTCCGGTATTTATTGCTACTATAAATAGCACCCCATTTCCCCATTTGTAACCACGCTGAAAATGCTCCACTCTTTATAATATACTCTCTCTATATATATACATGCTTGCTCTGACTTCTCTCTTGTTATTCCTCGTGATCACCCCTCGGATAAGCTACCCCCGGGTACACTATCCATCATTTGGTGCTCTCGTTGAGAGGTCGAACAATCGAGTAAGAAACCCTCCCCCTTCGCCAAACACTAGCCCTCTACCAAAATGGTGAGAACTACACGTGCCAACTCCAAAAACGTAGAAAACAAGAACCTGGCCCTCAGCGACGTCAACGCCCCCGAAGCCTCTCACAGGGCTCCCGAGGGCGGTGTCATCGCTGGGCTGGAACAGGCGGCTGTTGACCTACGCCTTCAGATCCAGCAGAATGCCCCCGATGCCCGCCTCGGCATCGAGACCAAGAAGAAGAACTGGAGCGATGACCAAGTCAGCCCTCCGGTTCTCACCATCAACGTTCATTCGGCGCTCTCCGCCTTCATCCAGACGCTCACTCAGAACCCAGGTGCCTTCGGCACTCTGGCTCCGGCTCAACCCCAGGTTGGGGAGAACATCATACTTCCCCCTCTACCACACCCCTTCGGAAACCCCATCCCTCGGGTTAGGAATGACGAAGGGGTAGTGGCCCAAGATACGGCCTCCCAGGAAGTTCAGTCTCGGGACCGCCACAATGACAACAGAGAAAGGCCCCGCACTTCCGCCCTCAACCGGCTCGGAGGGGGGCAAGACCGCCGAGGGGTCCAAGACCGTCGAGGGGTCCAAGACCGCCTCGGAGGAAAAGCACTCCAAAGGCCCCAGGAAAGCGGAGGGTCTGTCTCGAGGGCAGACGAGGAGCGTCCCCCTCGGGACAAAGGCAAGGCACCCCTTCATGCCGACGATGCTCGCCACCAAATCAACCAGGCCCACTCGGCCCGGGTTCGTTCGCAGGGGGCGGAGACCCTCCCGAAGGATCCCCGGGACGAGATTATTGCGGCCCTCCAACGCCGGCTTTATGAAATGGAGGCTAACAAAGCTCACGCCACCACCTCCACCCCTCGTTCAGACCTCAAATACGAGGCCATGATGGCCAAAATGGAGGAATTACAGAAGAAGGTAGCCGAGGGCTCCGGGGAACCCATCATCCAGCTCCGGACCCGAACGCCATTTACCCCAAGGGTATTGGCGGCCCGGATCCCGTAAAAATACCGAGGGCAACACTTACAACCCTACAACGGGAAGACGGACCCCCAGGAGCATTACAGCAAATACCAGAACAACATGATGATGGTAGGGGCGTCGAACGAATATTTGTGTCGTTGGTTCCTCTCCACCTTAGAGGGGCCGGCATACGAATGGTTCAACCGTTTGCCCGAAGGCTGCATTGATTCGTGGCAAGAACTCGCCCAGCGATTCTTGACGCAATTTGCCGGGAGACGTCGCACGAGGAAGCACTTCTCCCACCTCCTAACCATACGCCAGAAGAGGGATGAGACCCTTCGGGACTTCCTGGAGCGCTGGAGAACGGAAGCCGACAAGGTCGACGGTGCTGACGACGGGACCCTCCTGGCCCTCCTACAAACCGTCCTCCGCACCGGCAACTTTTCAAGGAGCCTCATCATTGAACCCCCCCCCCCCCCCCCCCCCCCGCGACTACATAAGGGCCCTGCAGTGGGGGGACCGATATGCTGAGGCCGAGGAGGTGGAGAAATACCACCAGCATCCAAATCAGCAACCCCCGAAGGCTGACAACAAGAATAACCGGGGGCCGGGGGCTCCTCCAAATCACCCCAAGGCTTCAAGACCCTCTGATGACCGCCCTCGGCAAGGCCAAGCCAAGCCCGGGGGAGGTTATAAGAGCAGCCCTAAGACTTGGGCACAACCCATTCTCCTGGACCGCCCCCGGACACCATTGACGCACCCCGTCAGCATCATCCTTGATTTTGCCGAGGAGAGGGGCCTCGTTGAGCGCGATTCTCACGCACCCCCGGAGGTACATGCTATCAACCCTCAGTTCCCCTACTGTCGTTTCCATCGGCATCAGGGGCACAGAACCGATGACTGTCATCAGCTAAAGACGGCCATCGAGAGATTGATACAAGCGGGCCATCTGTCCCAATTTATCCAGAGCCCTCGGCAGGAGGGACCTTCTCATCAGGGACCTCCCCGAGGGCACCACACGAAGGTGAACGCTTGGGTGAACCCGAACACCATCCCCCTCGACAAGAAGAGGGAGATCGGAAACTTGGAGGAGGAAGAGGAGGAGTACCCCCACTACCAGGAGAAAAAACGCCACATCCTCATGATCACCGGTGGCAATACAGGGGGCGATTCCACCAGTCAGCGGAAAAAGTGGTCTCAATCGCTTTACGTGGGGGAAGTCACCCATATGCCCCCGATAAAGCGGCTGAGGGAGGAACCCATCACCTTCACCAACGCAGATCTCCCTCCTACTTCTTCTCCTCACAGGGGTGCCTTGGTGATTCGGACTGAAATAAACAACACCATCATTCACCGAACTTACATTGACACGGGCAGCTCCGTCAATGTAATGTACCTCAGCACCTTTAGAGTCGTCGTCGTCAACATCGACTACGCCCACAACATCATCCTCGGCCGACCAGCCCTCGAGGACCTCGAGGCCATCATCTCCATGAGGCACCTCTGCCTCAAGCTCCCCGCCGAGGGGGGCATTGGCTACTCCCGGGGGAATCAGAAAATTGCCCGCGCTTGCTATCTTCAAGTAACGAAGAAAGTAAGCAAGACGGAGTTCCGTGTTGACACCATCACCGGAACCATTGATGAAGAAGAAAAGAGGCCGAGGGCTGAACCAGCCGAGGACGTAGAAGATTTTGCGCTCGATCCGGCCAAGCCGGAGAGAGTCGTGAAGATTGGAGCCCAGCTCCCTGAAGATCTGAAGACCGGTATCACCGACGCCCTCCGCGCCTACTCCACTGTCTTTGCATGGGGGCCGGAGGACATGCCGGGAATAAGCCGCAGGGTCATCACCCACCGCCTCTCGGTGGACCCCTCGGCAAAAGCAGTACAGTAACGAAGAAGATCCCTCTCCGCCGAAAGGAGGGAATTTGTGAAGAAGGAGGTCTCCATGCTCCTCTCTATTAAGCAC